TTAAAGAGGATCCTGGAGTCTCATCTCACTCTCTCAGAGATTCCTGTCTTACCAGCACCATTAAGTTGCTATAATCTCTTCTTAAAGTGAATCATCGCCTTGTAAGATACTAATGCTGTTTACGATATTTGTACACACATATTCATAACAACATTATTCACAATAGCCAAAAGGTGGAAGCAAAGCAAGTGTTTCATCAACAGATGAATAGACAAGCAAAATGTGGTACAGACATACAAGGGAATATTATTCAGCCACAGGAATGAGGTATTGACACATGCTGCAACCTGCATGAAACTTGAAGACATTCTGAGTGAAAGAAGCCAGTCACAGAAGGACAAACACTGATTTCACTTGTATGTGGTACCTAGAGTAGTCAAAGTCATAAAGGCAGAAAGTAGAATGGTGGTTGCCAGGGGCTGCAGGCGGGGAGGAATAGGGAGTTATTGTTCAATAGTACAGAGTTTGAGTTTTGGAAGATAAAAATGTTCTGGAGATGGATAGTGGTGATGACTGCACAACAGTGTGAATGTATTTAATGCCACTGTACTGTACACTTAAAATGGTTAAGATGGTAAATTTCATATTACATATATTGTACCACAATTTTTTTTTAAAGTTACTAATGCTGTTTAAAGATGCTTTCAGGAGTTTCCTGAAGGGTGGCACACCAGGACAGGGCATGGAAGCTCCACAGAAGTGCCCCTTCCCACATACCTGGCCCTATGCATCACTTCATCTGGCTGTTCACCTGTATCCCTTGTGACATCCTTTATAATAAACCGGTAAACAGCCAACAGGGTTGCACCAGTTGCTTCCAGGTCATAAACATCCCCACCACCTCAAAGAGCTCTGGATCCTGGGCTACTTCTTCAACACATCTATGACAGAGCAAACACTCAGTTTGGCCTGGTTTCTGTGGCTTAAGCCCGAGTCTTTCCCGCCATTTCCCAGGAAGATCTGTCTCAGTCATGTGCCCACTCTGGATGTATACAATTCTCACTGTTCTTCGTATGAGATTGTGGAGGAACGTTCTTGGCCCAGTTCTCTGTCGTACCAATAATGTAGAATAAAAACAACCTACTAGGAAAACAAAAAAGCTGCTTTCAAAACAAGTTTTACAGAAAGGAAGCAAAAGGCTACAGCGCACAGAGCTAGCTCACCCATTTCATGGGCTGATTACAGAAGATGACCCTCAATTGTGGGGAGGGAGAGAAGAATAATACATGGGCTTGATGCCTTGTGCTGGTCTAGGACTTTTCTGATTCCACCGTGGCAGAGCTCATGTTGTTTTTTCCTACCAGCTGGCCTCAGTCAGACCCTCCCCAGTCCATCAGACATTTTCCAATAAACTTGGACCTCTATAGAAAGGAGTCTACACTCAACTCTCCTTCATCCCAGAAGGCTCCTGTGTAACGATGTAGATGTAAGTAGCACACAGTCGTCTCATTTCATCCACCAACACGTCTAAGATAGCAGGTACTTGCCAAGCTAATACATACTCCTCGACTCTCTCCTACCAGAACGGTGGCTGAGTGGTACTTGCCTTACTTCCACACAAAGGAATGGGACCTCTCAAAGGGTTCATCCCAGAAGAACAGCTGTTATGAAGATGACCTGAAAGTTACTTCCTTGTCCTAGACTGAAAACAGCAGTTTTTAAATGACAATGTCCACCAACAAGACAAAACGTTTTAGCCCTTTTCACCTAAAATCACAATACAGACATATAAATGAACTATCTTTATCACTGCCATCATCAACATCAGTATCATCACCACCTTTACAGCGGGGAGAAAGTAGAGATTTGCAAAATCTACAGGAGGATGGACAGAAGTTGGCAAGAATTCCGAGGTTTCTGGCAAGTAGTGCCCTAAACTGAGTGGAGGATATAGGAGGAGTGTGTTGAGTAGGACAAGAAGGATGCAGGGGAAGAGAAACTGGTGACGACGAGCCGGCAGGTAGGGACGCAGGTAAGAGGGTGTGTAGAACGAACGGGAGGGGGGTCCGCGCGAGGACACCCCGCTGCCCCTGCGGCACCAGGACAACGCTCCCGGGCCGTGTTTGCCCAAGTTCCTTGAAGTACCGCGAGAGCTCAAATCCCGTCACTGACCCCTCCCTGCAGGCTCAAATCCCGCCCACCGCCCCGCCCCGCCCCGCC